CTTCCAGGGAAATCTAGTTCTGAAAATGTAGATTTTTCCCCTCCAAAATACTTGGTTCACGACTGCACATTAAAGATTGTGCTTGTATCAAAACCTGACAGTTTGATGGGGAATTAAAAAATGTTGTAGATTTGAGAACAGTATCTGAAGCATTTGTTCAGTATTAATCACAACAGGCAACACAGTGGCTCAATGGTTAGCACCGCTGCCTCACAGTGCCAGGGACCTGGGTTCAATTCCTGCCTGGGGCAACTGTCTGTGTGGAGTTTGCACATTCTCCCTGTGTCTGCATGGGTTTCCCCCCACAGTCCAAAGATGTGCAGGGTAGGTGGATTGGCTATGTTAAATGGCCCATAGTGCCCAGAGATGTTTAGGTGGGTTAGACATGGGGAAATCAGGTGGAGGGGAATGGGTCTGGGTGGAATGCTTTTCAGAGGGCCAGTGTGGACTTGTTGGGCCAAATGGCCTGTTTCCAAACTGTAGGGATTCTATGAGGTAATATTTTGATATTTTTCTTCCCATTCTGCATAACATTCATATGAGATGATAAATTGCAACTCTCTATAAGGAGAATTTTAATTGACAAAATGTATTAATGGATTAAAGTTGTTTTTTTTTTTGTTGGGTAGTATAAATCCTTTGCTTGACTGTATGCAACAAGAATAAAATTGTAAATAACGTTGCTGTTCTACCTAGGGAAGTTTTAAATTTATAAATCTGTGTTTAATTCAGTTCCATTCTGGACCAACAATCTTCTGCTATTGTGCTGTCATTCAGTCTTTGCAAGCTTTATTCATTCAAAACTGCCTGTATTCTGACTTGTATCAAGCCCATTCACCCATTATCATAATACTTGCTGACTTAGTTGTTACTGGACCTGAAATTAATCTAACTTTTAAAATTCTCAATTTTTGTGTTCAGATTCCTCCGTAGCCTCTCACTTGTCTATCTCTGTAACTTGCACCAGCTCTACAGCCCTTTTGTGAGCTGTTTGTTCTTTCAGTTCTGGTCTATTCTATTGGGTGTTCTAAAATTTCTTTTGCTCCCACCATTTGCAGTTGTGTCTTTAGTTAGTGAGGCCCTAAATGTTGGAATTTCCTCACAGGACTTCCATCGCTGTATTGCTCTAAGACATTGCTTAAACCTGCCTCTTATTGAGCTCATCTGTCCTAAAATCTCCTTTTATATGGCAGGTGAGGCTGAGGGCTCCTCTCTGAAAGCTCCTCGTAGGTACCAGATTTTCTAATTAATTTCAGGGGCGTCTCTTGTCTGGATACTTCAGCAGTGCAGTGCTTCAAGTTTAATAAAACCACAACTGACAAGTCAATTCTACATTGATTTCAGAGATCCGATGCTCTTGATTGCAGATGTGTGTTTTTTTTTTGTCCATAGCTGCTGCAGCACCTCGTGGTGCCTTTGGCGGCAAATGCAGTTAACCAATTTGAATTTATATTGAAAAGAAAAAAAATCCTCAAACATTCAATTTTGTGACAGGTGTTGAGGTATTTAAGAGGTTAATATGAGTTCTTCAACCTGAAGTGTGATCAATAATGACAATTTGAGCAAATGTAGCTGAAAAATCCACTTTTTCATCCAGCATTTTTCTTTTTATAGTGGCTTAGAACTACAAGAAGTCTGTTTTATTTGTGTTCAGAAGAATTTTCAAGACAATGAAGATGTTACTTATTATAAATTCCCTCGTATAGGGAGCAGGAATGGAAAAATGGTCGAGAAGAGAAAAGGTGGTAAATCCTATTTTTAACAGTTAATAACTTTCTGTACTCAATAAGGTACGCTGTAAATCTCAGAAAAATCTTTCCAAAAACTGGGATTGATTTATTTGCTAAGTATAAAATATGAACTGTTGATGTGTGTGCTTTGTATTTTTAACTGTGAAAAAAATTCAATTCATTAGATGCTGTGTGTGGTCTGCTTGGTATGGGTGCATCTTTGCCAACATGATGCACAGATGTTAATACGGTCTGTATTGCCTGCATGATTCCAAGTGCTGACTTCTGAGGGGAGAATAAACCTGAATGTGTATTTATAAACCTAAAAACTGAGGCTGACTCCTAAAGTAGGTTTACCGAAACGTGCATTTTTAAGCTGAATGGTGGAAGATTGATTTATGCACTAAAATAGGATAAACATGCATGTTAGCATCCAAAAATAGGGGTCATCTCATCACTTCGTATGCTGTGGTCTGCAAGTATTTCTATTTAAGCAGAATATAAATAAAACATTGTAAAAAAAATTCTTGATGTCCTTTTGAGTGGGATGACAGTTGAAAATGTATCTATAAGTGTTTGAAAAGCTATACCATTGGCAACAAGATGTCGGGGGGCGGACATAAAATTGTGGTTTGCAATAGACTTAGAAATTGGTATTGTTCCGTTTAACTGCGCAAAAGGGGGTTTTCTTTCTCGTTTAGTCAAACCCTTCAGAAGTCCTTGTCACCTTTAGACTACTTTCTTGATACTCCCTGTTTGGCTTCTACTATGAGGAATTTATTTCATGAAATGTACTTGTCCAAAGTTTTATCAAGAGCTTTTAATTCTGAATGAAATACATCTTCATTGAGTGCTAATTTCACAAATTAATGATAAGCCAGATGTTTTCTGTCCACCACCTATTTCCAGCTTTTCAATTTCCCCACTGGCACAGACATTTAAGCAAATTTTAAGAGTAAAATTTAGAACAGTGTAAGATAAATCACAATTATCTGTATAGAAGACCTTGTTTAGGACCAACATTGACTGTTGGTGTGTTGAGTTTCGTGGTAATATGGAAGCCCTGAAAAGTTTAGATTGATACTGAGCTTAGAAGTCCTTTGGTGGTGCAATATATTTTGACTATTCTTTTTAAAAAAAAACGTAGATGGAGAATTTACTGAAAATTAACAAAGGGATGTGACTTTAAATTAGTTTCGTTCGATGGAACCAAGAGCGTGCTTTCTGAATAAGGGTCACTGGACCTGAAATGTTAACTCTGTTTTCTCTCCACAGACCTCCTGAGTTTTTTCCAGCAACTTTTTTTGATTTTTGTTTCTGATTTCCAGCATCCACAGTTCTTTGCATTTTTTTTGTTTAAGGGAGTGTGGTCTTTGGAAAGGCCAACATGTGTCATCCATAACTTGCATGAACATAAAATTAGATTGGATATTGGACTGCTTGTGTAGTAAGTGCAAGAATTCAAACGTGTTTGAATGATAGAAGACCTGGAAATACTAGTAGGTCAGGCAGCATTTGTGGAGTGGGGAAAATAACTATATTTTCAGTTCAGTGACCTTTGGAAGGGTGAAGAAAAATATAAGATATGATTGATATATTGGCACTGGTTGATATCAAAAAATGTTGGTAGATATTTGGCAAAGTGCCTTGTGGTCATTGCAAACTGGTTGAACTTTTTTTTTCCATGAGGAATTTCTTAGATTTATGTTTCCTTGAATTGAGCTCGGATTAGTAATATTTTTGCTCAGTTATTAGATTACATAGCTGGTGAGGAAGGTATATAATAAAATTGCGATGCTAAATCAGATGATGATTGCTTTGGACATGCCCGATGAGCCAACTGATCCCTGTCTGTCGTTTTTTACATTTCTTTTGAAACAGACAAACTGATACTTTTGCTATACATCTTTGGATGCAATAAGTGAGAATACACAATGTATTTTGACATAAGATAATATTTAGTTAGTGTAATGTACTTTTTGTTTACTGATGTGTTACTTCAGTTTTCTTTTTATGATTTCACTTCTGCTCAATTTGTTTTTCTTCAACTTTGTTTTTTTTAATCTCTGTATATTTTTGTACCTTTCATTCCCCCACTTCTTTACATTTTATTTCATTTTTCTGTCACAGCGTTCTAATGAGATTATAACAAAACAATTGTGAAACAACAAAATAGTTTGTTTCTAAATATGCTCAGAAAATGTGCAATGCTGCATATTGTCTCTGACAATCAAGTAATGTGTGCAATTCTTTGGAATTAAACAACTTGTGGGGCTCATGCATTATTATTTTTAAAGCACAGCCATGACGATTGTTGAGTAAGAGCTCAAACTGAGGAAAGAAGGAAATGCTGCAAATGTTCTCTGATAGTGCACCACAATCTATCCTTGCCAGTTTACAGCATTTGGCATGGTTCTCCACTGGATTTTCTAGCAATGATTCCCTTGCTTTTCTACTGCTGTTTTTTTTTCTCTGAAGGCCATGAAAATGTTTATAGCTGCCTTTTTTTTCTTCAGGCATAAAATTAAATAAGCAGGCACATTATACTGTACCAAATAAAACTTCGGTTAGGCACCAGCTGGTGTATGATGTGAATACTTTATGAATATTTGTTACTCGTTGCTGTGCCAGTTATTCCTGGCCCCACTGGAGCTGTTGAAAGAGGAGGGAGAGAGTATAGTAAATGTGGTGACTTTTAAAAGCAAATCATCCGTACTGTAGTGTTATGTTTCTTGAATGCTTGATTAGGCTTTGTCATAGTCCCTGAATGAGAGCACTAACTTAGCATGTTGGAAATATAATCACAGAATTGACCACTTTAATTATGAGCCTTGAATGGGATTTTATTGTAATGTTGCTACTTGAGGCAAATTGAAACCAAGCCAGTGGCAAATAGTTGTAATGCCAAGTATTAAAATGTATAAACTTTGTGCTCACGTGCCATTTCTTCTATCACATTTGATTGAACTAAATTGGAATGAGTATTTTAGTGCGAATGACAATTTTTGACACAAGTACAATGGAAACTGAGAAGAGTATCTGCTGTGATTAATTGGCAAATATTGTCAAGAGGTGATATAAGCTGACTTGCATTGTAACGAAGACTGTCAATGGGAAGGCAAAGAAAATGAAGCTGCATGGGAGTCTCGGCAATGAAGAGTTTGGAAAGGAATGCTAGACTTAACATATGCAAGGGGCATAAATATTTGAGGCATTGTTTGAGGAAGAAATGTGTAAAGAGGTACGAAACTGGTAACCAATATCGATCATTGGAGATAAGAATGATGAACGGACTTAGTCTTGGATAGAATGAAGTTGATGTAAGATATGAGCAGAATTTTGTATGAGCTGTCATTCTTGTAGAATATGAGTCTGGTCAAAAGCTCGTTGGAATAGTTAAGTATTATGTAAAATCTGGTCGTTGTGGTGATGAAAGTTCTTCAATGAGAAACTTTGATTCTCTTTCTCGCTATACAAGTGCAGTCTGACCTGTGCATTTTCAGCATTTTCTGCTTATTTTTTTTGTGGAATTTATGTTCAGTTGTGAGGATCCAACAGCACTTTTGTGATTCTGAGCAAGTTAGTATTTATTTTGTTAACTCACGGGAAATCTAATGATAAATACATTGTTTATTACCTATCTACTGAAAGCTGCAGTTGCTACCTTTTCAACAGGACAAAACACAATATAAATATTTGTGTAAATGAACATGACTTACTGCTGCTGTTCATTTAAACAACAGTTAGCTGAAATATTAAATATAATCATCCTGAATTAGATTGGAAAGCATATTCACCTAAAGTTTTCATCACAGCCTTCAGTGAAATTTCCTCAGAGTTCATTGTACATTGGCAACAAGATGATTTCGGGAAGCTAACGCTGAAAACTGTTCTGAAAATGAGAATTGTCAAAAAGTGGGTTCCAGTTTGTGAGGCAATTACGACAGCATTGGGGAAAGTGGGATGTGTACTGATGGGGACAGTCTCTACCTGAACTCTGCTGGGTGCTGTGTTTTTGTGAACTGTATAACTAGGAAAGTGGCTTTAAAGCTAAATAATGGCAGTAAGAGTTTACATTTGGGAAGACGTGGTAAGTCAAATCATAGACACCCAGGCAAATTAGAATGGTATTAATACTGGAAATTATAAACGACAGGAAGGAATTCAGGGGACAACTTAAAGAGCAAAGCAACAGATTAGACTAGAAGTTTAAAAAAAAAAGGGACAAAATTTATCTCCCATATCTCATGTACATTGCATGTGAAACAAAATTGGTGAACTGGGAGCAAAATAGAAATAAGTACATACGATCTGGTAGCTGTCATGGAGACTTGGCTGCAGCATGACATGAATTGCGATCTGAATCTTGAAGCATGCAGACATTTAGGAAGGACAGACTGCTATGAAACAGTGGAGGGAGAATCTGTTAATTAGTAAGGATATTAGCTGAAATAGCATTGGTATTTCTCTGGAATTAAGTCTCTATAATGGATGGTGTTGGGAAATAGCTTGAAACTTTATTTTGATGTTTATGTTCAGATCATTCTAACAATGTATAGGTTAATGATTTTGTGTAACTTTATGTTTTTAAAACGTAACTTCTGACTCATGTGAATATGTTTCAGTGACTAACTGCCATGTTAACCAACTGCAAAAAATTAAATATATGTTCCATCAAGTCTGGTTTCATTCTGGGATCTGCTTTA